CAACCATAATGATTCTATGATTTAAAGTTTGTTCAAGTCATGAGCAATTACAGATGACGCAGTTCAGCGAGTAAGCAAAAAAAAAAATAAACAAAAAAATCTCCTTAAAAAAAAAAAAAAATAAACAAAAAAATCTCCTCGTTCCCATGGTAGTGCAGCTGGCTGCCAAGGCCCACCTCGCAGAGGGCTGCACAGCCAGGGAAACCCTGCCCCATCCTCCATCAGGCACTGCAGGAGAGCCAGGCGCACGCCCACGTTCCCATCCCAGGTCAGATACCAACCTTCTGCAACCATAAGAAAAGGGGCCTGTCAGACCTGTGAGATATTCCATGTTTAGAGAAAAAGACTTAGCTATTCTGTTGTCTCAATATATATTCTCAAGCCTCACTTTAAGCTTGTATTAAAAACAAACAAACAAAACCCCCATACTCAATCTTTTCTAAGCACATCTTACATAAAAGGAAAAGAATGCTTATTATTTACTTTCCAGGAAGCTTTGAAAATGCTTAATGTGCTTTAAGATGGATTTGTAAATGTATTTCAAGAGCTGTGTTTTTAAACTGTCAAAAGATGTGAAGGAAAAAAAGAAGTACGATGTCTTAATTAAAGTTTTCACTGGCATATCATTAACTTAAACACCTTTAAAGCCTTCTGACCAAGAAGCCCCTATTGGGAAGGGAGGCAGGGTGTCAGGAGAAGGAAAGGGGTGACAGGGACCATGATCAAACACTCACCAGAACAAGACAAGTGTCTACTAACGAAAACGTGCCAGAACGTCCTATCCCCGCGCTGCAGTGAACTACTGCAGGTCCGTGTTCAGGACTTAGTGACCCAGACTCTCTGACTTTAAACAGGAAGTTCAGGAATGAAGCTGGGGATTCAGGAACTCCAAAGTCTGGCCATGTAGTATAATGAAAATGAGAGATCATCCTGGATTCGCCACTCTAGAAGTGAAAACAAATAAACAATACAACTAGAAAGTATTCTGCTTTTGTTTAGTTAGCACACATTTGCCCAGTCTAAATCAATAGCTATTTTCTATTTTAAACCTCCCACTTACAAGCCAAAAACTTGCTTCAGGTTGGATGACAACCAACAGCGCAACCTGAAGCAGTTTTTCATCCGAGTCAGTAGTTTTCCCCTTTGCAATTATGACCATACACTTTTTTTTTCTTCTTCTCAAACTTCCAGTATTATATGTGCTTCGCTTTACTACTTGCTCCCAAATATTCTTCTTTTTCTACCATTAATGCAGCTTAATGGCTGACAGCAGTTAGACTGCTAGCACTAATACAACCGAAAAAAATACCGGTCGGCATTGTAAACATCCTCCACTCTTGCTCAGAGCAAGTTTTAATATCAAGAGGTGTTAGCATCCTCTTTATACTAACCACATTACTGAGAGGAGCGGGAAGCTTTACAGAAAAGGCCTATAAGAACCCATACAGCAGGATGTCTACCCAAGACTTCTGCTGGACATACTCTTTCTTCGTAAATAAGAAGGGAGGATTCCAAAACCATGCAATTGTTTTAGAACCACGCAGCTCCTCTCCTAACGTGACCAACTAACTGCAAGCATTGAAATGACAGCAAGAGAGTACATGTGTATCTGAAAAGCCCTGATGACAACTTTGGATCATATTTTTATGGAACTCACTTCAGACGTGCTGTTAGATGCTACTCCTTGCCACAGTGATTTTGAGACAACCTGATCACTGATTTAGCTGAGGAATTTTAGAAAGGTTCAGTTATTTTTACCCTCCCTCCATTTCATCTTATTTCCCACACAGACTGAAACCTACACGAACCTCCACAAAGCTGGAACCCAAGAAGACTTCAAATATCAATGTGTTCCAGAAAAGCTATTTTTCTTTTTCAGCAACAGCAAACTATAGCTATGAAATTCAAATAAATTCTACTGTTCTTCATCCGCTCAGTCTGTTTCAACTTCTTATGAGGGTCAACTTATGAAACTCCTTTGTGAAACTAAAATAATCTCATTCACGGTTAACACAGTAACAAAAATATGCTTCCATTTTGCCTTTTGCCTTCAACGCCCAATCCTGCAAGACTGCCAACACTTTCACAGAAAACAGTGGATATTAACATGACTCAAGTCACTCTCAAATGCAGTTATCTTCCAGGAATATTTAGTCTTTTAGTTAAGAGCTCAACAAGGACAAGAGTCTGATCCCTCATACTGGGAAAATGAGTACACAATAAGACCTCAAAGCAAAAAAGAGATCTACGAAGGCCTTAATTGTATAAATACCCTGGGATTTCCCTTTCTTATTTGTCTGAAGCAAAGCATTAAAAAAAAAGAGCTTGCATTTTCGACTGAGATCTTCTTACTGGTCTTCTGTACTTAGTTTTTCAACTACCGAGTTAACTACGAAGGCCTTAATTGTATAAATACCCTGGGATTTCCCTTTCTTATTTGTCTGAAGCAAAGCATTAAAAAAAAGAGCTTGCATTTTCAACTGAGATCTTCTTACTGGTTTTCTGTACTTAAGTTTTTCAACTAGCGAGTTAACTCACTCACTAATCAACTGAAATGACCTATTTGTTTAAAAATCATGAAGGAGATACTTTTTTTTTATAAGAACCCTGGAATTTATAGAATTTTAAAGAAGATAACACTCTTCAGTAATTTTCTCTATTTCTAAGAAAAATAACTCATCCATTTACAAAGAAAATTAAGAGGAAAACTGGAGAGATGAGCCAAATGCACATACTAAGTAAAGTAAAGGTTAAAGTTGTTTCTTGTGAATCTAGATGATCCTTCGAAGCAGTAACTGATACTCTCCCCCTCAAAATTCCTAAATAGCATTCCAGGTGAAAGCCTCCCTTACACCTCAAGGCGGCAAAAATGCCCTTATCTACAGAAAACAAAGGTGATCTGTGGTTTGATTTCCTTTTTTTTCCTGAATCCCATACTTTAACAAGCACTAGCATCCTTCTCCTAAAAAAAAAAAAACGGTAGTGCTTCAAGCACACGGCCAAGTGTCACCCTCCTCATACACTAATCTGAAAACTGACATTTCTAAAGGAGAGATTAAACAGTGCTGTCGTACATTCCATTCAGCTCTAACCCACAGAATTACTTTTTTCTTCCTCCCTGTACTGTACAAAGGCTTTATCCATCCCACACTTTTCCACTACTTCAGCCCATTTTAAAAACACCTAGTCTCTTCACCTTTCTTCACGAGTTCCATTTCAGTGCACCAGAACTGGCTGGTCTTCTTTGAACTTGCAGTTTCTAACTATACAGCCAAATCCCATTTGAATATTTCAAACCTCTCACATTTTCTCTCTTAAACAGAATGGCTCTTTCAAGTGGTGCTTGGCAGTCAAGCCGTACAGCTGAAATACTGTCTTTGTGTGAGTATTTGTACCACCCTTTCGTAAAGAACTCCACCATCACTAAGCCATGCACCACAGCTATCACTTATGCGAAGTGATGCGGGACTGTAATGAGAAAAGGTTTGGCTTGCTAAAGATTCACAACTGTTGACGGACAGAAATTCAATTTTCAAGAACAACTAATTTTATTTAAAGCGTTATCAGGAAACTAGATATTCTTTTAAAGAAAAAAGCTGGACTTCAAGACTCAGGCAGTAATACAAAATTTTATGTATGTTATACACAGGGAACACATTTCTGCATGATAACCGAAAGCCAACTAGTCCTATGGTAACCACAACATATTCTTCCAAGATTCATTCCCTAAGATTAACTACCAAAAAACCCCCAAATCTTAAAGGTCCTTGAATAATCGTGGGACAACATTTAAACAAACAACTTTTCAAGAAAATGAGTCAAACCATTCTAGTGAAAGTTTCATTCTACTGGGACAAGCTTTCAGCAAATAACCACCCATCCTAAAACTGATAAACTCAGAAAGTTACCACAGTTCTCCACTGACTGCTGGCAACACTAACAGCATAATCAAAGGACGATCAAACCACCAGGCAGATATCCACATGAGGACTTGAGCAGAAAAATAATATAATGCCATTAGATTAACCTTCATCAAAACAAGCTTGTCATAACCTTTTTACAGTGACTATCCCATCACTCAAAACAAAAAGGTACAAATATCTTAGAAAAACTAGATTGTTCAGTCACCTGAGTGTATGAACATGAATAAAATACTACCAAAATACCCAACGGAAGTTGATGCGTTCAGTGCCAAGTAAAACAGGTGAAGACAGAAAAATGCTGGTCTGTCAAATTTCACACACTCCTTACAAAAGCCTTCATTTCTTAGTTTAAGGGCTACTGAAATGGTCTAACGTACGAAGGCATAAAATACACCTATAACCCCATAGTGGTCCTGCATTTAATGACCATGCCTTGAGCGCATTAACAACTAATTTGATCATATAAAAATGAGAAGGCATGATGTAAAGGGCAATATTCTATGCACTGAAACTCAAAATTTTAAATCAACTTTTACCACAACCTCTTCTATTTGTTCATTCTAATGCTTGGCAAAATGGCTTTCAAAATGTACATAAAAATGGCAATGAGGATAACAGCCCCAAATAGTCCTCACAAACATTCTGGGTTTCTGGGTGCTTATCCTGTAACAGTAACAGCAATGCCCACTGATTCTGCAGAACACTTGCTGGGTTCTCCTTTCCTGTTAGACACTAATATCTTTCCTAACACCTCAGTCTGACTTCTGTGGTCATCAAGACAAAAATTAATCCCTGTTACAGTTTGACAAACTGGTATGAGGACATCCCACAAGTTTAAAAGCAAGTGCATGCCATGTTTCTGAAATCCCTTCAAGGCACTGTAGGCATTACATACATATACACATCCATATACAAAGATACCACCAGATCCCAGAACATTGCCTGCCATTAGATTGCTCACCTCCACAAACAAAATACCTTGCTAGTACGTTTACAATTTTGGACATCGTAAAGTAGCAGCAAAACAAGAAGATAAGATTTTCTTGAACTACAGTGACTCTTCCTAGTTCATCCACAGGATCGAACAGCGAGGGCCAGTGAGCAGTCCTGCCTCACCTTAATCTGACCGCAACAGCCTCACAGAGGCCTGGTACTAACTTGAGAATCTATTTTGCTAATGTTTTTTTCCAAATATTTGCTATTTGCATACAACTCAAGATTCCATTTGGGGTTTATAATGGTCTTTAAAGCATCATCACAATCAAACGTGTCACATCAAACCTAGTTAATTTCTCCTAGTCCCTTCTCCTCCAGCAAATATTTTCTTTGCAAACCTCTCCTTCGGCTGCTTTATTCTTATTTCTAGGAACCTAGTCAGAGATACATTCATTAAGGTTGCTTCAGGAATTTCAATTCCTTTCCACTTCTCCATTTCCTCACCCAGTCAATCCCTGGTTTCCCTCACGTACTGATGCTCATTTGCCCTCCCATAGCTTCCCTGAATTCCCCAGTACCAACTTAGCGGGGTTTTGCTTACACACATTCACTATGTGTCATGTTGTATCGTCCTCCAGGCTATCTGGGTTGCCACATCAGAAATTACTTGCAACAAAAGTTTTCTTCCTCTAAAGACTGGTACTTACAGTTGTGACAAGGAAAGCTAAAAGCAGCAATAAAGAATAATACAAAAATACACATTCAACACAAGGTGGAGTCTTCCAGAAGTTAGCTGTCAGTATCTAACAATTCTCCCATACTACCAGCACAAAACTTAGCAACCCCATCCAATAAGGTTATTTTACAGATTTAACAAAAGGCTGTCACGAACACCTAACTATCCCTCCTCCAGTATACTGGGAGACTTTGCTTCAAATCACAGACGTGCAATAGCTTCACATATAAATTATTAAGAATTTTTAACATGAACACAGCATTTTCCTTCTACTCTTATTTTCCAAGAGAGGCGTGGGTTTGTGGAAGCCTTCACAGTCAGCCTTTCCTCAAGCAGAGTTCTGAACCTGCACAATTACAGCAGAAAGCAGCGGTCAGCTTTCAGAAGAGCTGCCAATTGATACCAACACAATGATGGGGGATACAGAATGAGCCATGGTGGAAAGGCAGCTTCAAACTTCTATATTCTACAACGCAGAGTGGGTCAGGCAAAAAAAATACGGAAAATCTGCATCAACCACCAGCAAGACAAAGCACCTTAGAAATATTTTCAAAACTTTTGGAAAGATACCGATAAACACCATCTCCTCTCCAAAGCTTTATTGGACTACACTAGCCGCAACAGCAAAAACAAATGTTTGCCTAGAACAGATATAAACAAGTCAAACCCCCAAATGCTTTGGTCTAATCCTAAAAAAACCCCTAACGTTGCCACCCTCCACCCCAAACTTCACCTGTACTTCTAACCACTCTTTAAAAAAAAAAAAAACAAAACCACCACCAACAGAAACAATCAAACATTCAGAGGTTGTTTCATGGGTAACAATATTAAACAAGCACTTTACTCTTCACACATACGTATTTTGCTTACGTATTAAGAGAGATTTGTTGCAGTAAGACAAACGTACTTGGGTTCAGAATGGTTGTATTATAAAGACAATTCTAGTTCTCTCTGTTTTCAAGGAAATACTGAAATTTCTTAAGTATTTTTGGAATTCAAAGTATATTTTGTTCATGAGTCATCTTATACTCCAGGCGTCAAGTGGCTAAATGTCTTCCTACTCTGCCTCCACCAAGGTCCCCTCCAGAATAACTTGTATAAACATACTTCAGCTCACATTTCAAGTTACTGTGAATGCTCAGTTCCCACAAGTTCTATGGTATAATTATCAAATTCTTACAGAAGGCTGCACTTAACATTCGCAGTGTTATTCTAGAAATTATGTCGTTTTTCTGTTTGAGTAACCGAGTATGTTCTCCTTCTTATAGCTGTTTTATACAAAATTATTCTTTGGAGTTAATATTCATGGAGTCTTATCGAAGTGCCAGGGCATGAAAATAAAAATTCGATACAGTAAGTTTGCTAAGTATTTGTGAAACTGATCTAGGTGACATACAAGAAACTCTGTACAGCGCTGATGGGTCTGCATTACCAGTCCAAAGCAAACCCAGAAATCTAAGTGCTCAATAGCTCCAACTCAAAAGTCTATTATAGCATACGCTGTGCTGTTCCTCAAGGGATTTCTGCATTTTCCAGCTAATGCTATGTCCAAACACACACAGATAACGAAAATGGCATCCTTTGAAAACAGGAAGTTTATGATTAGGGGCCAACGGCAGCCAGACAGTTCCACGAAGAAGCCTTTTTGGTAGTTAGGAAAACTTGCCTCGGCTTTACAAAAAGGAGAGTTATTCTTTCTCAGGCACTAGCTTGCAAACACTACTCCTCTCTTCTTTGCCTTTGCCGTCAATAAACAGACAACTAAACAGAAATTCTTCAGGTCAGAAGGACAGAAAAGCTCTTCTTACATTGAATAGACCAAGGAACAACATGCCAAGTTTTATCATGTTGATCTCGTGAGGGAGGTTTCGAATTAACAAACATTATCTCAAAGTACCATTAGTAGTTCCTGTATATTCAAATAATTTTGACCAAATAGATCAATGTTTAGTTGTATAAAACAATATGCAAATTAACATCTTCAAGCTTTCCTTTCCCAAATCCACTGACAAGATAACCTTGAATAAAACTTGCCGTACTAGCACTTTCAATTAATATAAGGCAAGGTTTATAGGGAGAGAGAATATCTTACAAGACATAGCTGGAACAAACAGACAAGCTCTTCAATCCTGTCTTCAGCTCTGAAACAGAAGCAGCAAATTCCAACCCAAGCTCAGGCCAGGAACAATTTTTTTGAGCTTAACTTGATTAAATTGTCAAAGAGCTTAATTTTTAAGAGAAAAGGATGGTTGGTCCTGTGGAGCAAAAGGGGAGGTAAGCAAGAGGAGATAAAGTTACCTATCTACAGGTGGTAACCACCACCACCACCCCCCCAAAAAAAATCAAAACTTAAAGGTAGCTGGACTGAATTACATGGAAAACTAAAATTCCATTAAAAAATCAGTAATTACTGAGTCTGATTTCTGATATTCAAAAGAAATCAGAATTTTCAACTCCTAGGTTTCTCCTTTTAGGGTATTTCTTACAGCTCCTAAGATTCTAAGGAATCACCACTACCATCAATTACAATTCAGCATGTTAAGGTACTGCCAAATGGAAGACAGAAGTATAAAAATGCTGAAGCAGTTATCTCTTTCAATGTGCAGATCAATTCAAGTCTAACTCACCTGCTTATATGCCACACATACATCTTCAACATTATCAGAAGCAAAGCACATTAAAATTTTCAGTGTAAAAGCTCAATCAAACCTGTAGTGACAATATGCTAAATGGTTTTAATTATATACTTAAGCCAAGGAATACGAGCTGTGCAGTCTGAGAAAAGCTTACATTGATGTTTTCTAATTGCAGTAGATGTACTGTGTAATAGGATTTGACGTCTTCAGATACTAGCCTCACACGGAAACCTGTTTCACTGAATGTCATAACTTCTTCTTCTTTTGTTGGCCAGTATTGTGCACACTTCACCTATTTTATTTTTTTTTAAAAAAAGGAGGGAAAAAAAGAAAAAAAAGAAAAAAAGAAAAATCTGGTTAAGTACCCCAGTATCCTGGGCTTTGCATAAGCAGATTCTGAGACCCCATTATTCAATACAGTAGACTCAAGTACCTGCTCCCAGTTGAGGAATTCTCAAAGTCCGTAATATTTACAGCCAAGTTACTACATCTGTTTCAATGGCTCTTATGCATTCCAGCTTTATCTGTTTATGCTTGCTTTCATCACAGGGCTAGCACGTTTTGAGATATACCGTAACCCTTCTCCCTCTCCCCCCTCTCTTTCTCTACAGTGAACAGAGGTCTTCACTCAGCTATTTCAACAACATTTCCCTCCTCCATTTCTGATGTGCACACCTGCACATTTAAGTAACTGATGTAACACATCCAGTTTTCCCCAGGCTTGCTTAATGCTGGAAGATTCTAATGAAACAAAAGAATTAACTAACAAAGCAATGCAAAACCGCCCCTTGTCCTTTGTTCCTCTTGCCCTGCACTCAAACTTCCTGTAAGAAAATTTTTGCGTAAGAAAATAAGTGACTTTTTAAAGGACTGGTCAAATCTTTTTTGCTAACAAACCTACTCAGAAGAAAAACCATAAACCTCAAATGACAGGCATTTATAACTAAAATCCACAGTGGTTTTAGGCACATGAGCAGAAAAACACCATCACAACAGAAGATTTGTGTATTCTGCGCATATACCACTAGCTTTAAAGAATCAAAAAGTAACTAGACTGGTTTGACAGTTGCTGGGCAGCAGCTTGTCTTCATTGTTACAGTTAGGATCACTCTATAGCAAATATACTACTCTGTTAGATTTAGAAGAAATAATCTAAAGATGCTTTAATTCAAACTTGTTTTCCCACCTTCCATTTTGTTCTAGAGCATCGCACATTGCTTCTACTCCACCTGATTTCTATCTGTACATCCTCCTTTCTTGGGATGTTACTTTCACCTTTCTGGATGTATATTTATTAGATGTTGTTTTCACCAAACTGAATTTTGCATCTTAGCTCCATCACTTTAATGTTATATTAAATACATGTTATATTGTACACCTGTGAGAAAGTCTGTTAGCTCTTTTAACATAACAATCATTGCTCAACTGTATTAAAATTACGTGGCTTACTTTACAACTTTAGGCCTAATATTACTTACCGATTCTTTTTCAACAATTCTGTTCAGCATGACAACTGCTTTGGTTTGTTGTTGCCACACCATTAGCCAAAAATGACAACATGTATTAGGCAGTGGACCCTGTGTAGTAAAGAAAAAAATGGGTGTGAGGACATACAGGCAAAGCAGTGTTTGAACACAGTTAATAGTTCACTGTGTGAAACAGGAAAAAGTCTTCCTCTGAAATGTTTAAACAAATTATTAATAGAATGATAGAAATGACAGGCAAAAAAGTAACCACATTGCACAGATCATTCCAGTACTTAAAAGTTTGAAACAAAAAAACCACCACCACCAAAAACTAAAAAAAACCCCAACAAACAAGAAGAGAGTAAGAACTCAGAGAAGGGACGTTTCAGTTTGGGCATCAATACTACTGCGCTGCTAGAAGAAAAGCTACTGCAGGCATGCTCAGAAGGTACAAGATGAAATAAGGGGTAAAAGTATTGTTGCAACCTATTTCCAAAAGAACTGAAGAAAAGAGCAAGAAATACTCAAAAAGCTTTATATGCAGCAAATTATTCACACGTAAATATTCCCTTTGGCTTTTTCTTAAGATACAAAATAACGTGTTCACAACTAGATCAAACAGCCAGTTAGAATGAGACAGTCACAAGGAACCATCCAAATACAAATTAGGACCCTACAACCCCCCCTCCCTCAGACTCCCAATCCCTATAACGACCTAGTAATTGGTGCTACTTACCTGCGTTAAAATATAGTATCTCTGGGCTTCTTCTATGACCACTAGGCTGGCATTGATATAGTCATTCTCAGTGTTCTGCAGTTTTACACGACTATGATCATCTAAAATTGAAAGAAAATCAAGAATTAACGATGCATCCATCTTGATGAATACACTCCAACAGGCAAGTTTAGGTCTGACGAGCAATTAGAAATAACTTCTGCAGTACTAACCAAATGGCAAACTACAAATATACATGAAACTAATTTCTCAGGTAACTTTGATAACTGCCTGTCTCATTCTCCCCTCAGCATTCCATCAGAGTAATTTCAGGCAGCTATTAATAGAAGCTGTTCAGAAAACTGGAATACCCACTTTTCTTCAAAAACCAACCAAACAGAACAACCCTCCCACACACGCCAAAAGATGCTCACAGCCATCCCTCAACACAACAGCACCAGAACCCACACCAGTCAGCACACTGTCCTATCACACCAGGTCACTCCCCTGAATTGTTTCCTTTAAGTTCAGAATTCCAAGATTTTTCGTGAACTATAGTTTCATAGGTGGAAGTAGAATCATACAGTTAAACTCACACAGAAAAAAAAAAAAAAAAAAAGAAAAGAAAAAATCCATTCGCAATAATTCAAACCAAGCTTTGATCAATTTAATTTTCCCAGTAATTCATTGTTTAATACTATACAAATTAAAAATACTAAAGAAGGGGCACATGCAAAAGTGTACCTATTTAACAATTCTTCCAATTAAATGAAGCCTAATCTGACTACAGAGCTTCAGTCTCTCAGGATTACACAGGCAAGACAGAAGATTCCCCTATTTATGGCAAGGGCAAGCAAAGGACGCCATTTAAAATTCTAACGTTAATATGAGAAAGATTAACAGACTAAAACTGTGTCATAATAAAATACTGCATAATAAAAGTCACTGTGGCTGTTCATAGAACCTTTTAGTATCTGATTTATCACCCTCTAGGAGACATTTAGGTGATCAGACTTGTTCACAGTAAGGAATCCTTCAGTCATTTACTAGAACTCTATTAAATAAACAGCATTTTTAGTTTAAAATTTGTATACAGCTGCATGCCAGAAAACGAGATCCAACTGGCTGCAAACCCCCTGAAGCTCAACTGCCTAGACGGACCATTTATGAGAAAAGTAAATAAAAAATAGCAAACTAAAATGAATTTAAGAGACTTCAACACATTTCAGGAAGAGACGGAAGAACTTCCAGAAACCAACTGACAGAGCTGAGTGTGAATTACAATGCAATGCCAGTTTCTAACCTGGTGCACCTGGTCTAACCCACAAAACTCATTTGGGGTCCAGACTGACGGCACAGCTGCTGTTGAAATGTCAGCCCACTTTTCCCTCTCCCATCCCCACGCCAAAAGGCTAACTTTCTTTTAACCAGTATCTCAGGAAACACACAAAATCCATGAGTTTTGACATGAGCAACTACCAAGTATCACATTCAGTGCAGCTACGAAAGCTGAACTCAAATTAAGTCCCTGTATCACAGCCAGACTGCACAGCACAAGGCTCATCTAAGACATCCATGAATAAGACCCCAGATAGGCAAAAAGCCGATAGGAATCAAAAAATAGTTACTGAATTAGTCTCTTGTTCTATGGACCGCCCATATGATTTTATAAATACCTTCCGTATGTTTGGAAACCTGGGAAAAGTACGTTTACTAGGTCTTGATCTGCTTTTATACTCTCCCTCATCTATCTGCTATTGGCAACTGTCAAAAAGGATCTTGCGGGATTCAAGGAAAGAAGTCGACAGTAAATTACTACTTTTTTTGTTTGTTTTTGAAGGACTGAGATTTGAGGTTGTTATCCTACCTCCTTTAGCTGCTAGCTTTTATATGCAGTCACATAACAGACATGCAGAGAACAGAAATATGCTGAAAACCTGTACTTTTTACAACATAAAAGTACAAGAAAGTTACTGGTTTAGTTTGTTTTCATTAGCATGCCAGCTAAGGCAACACCATCTTGACTTTCAGGAGTCTTAAAACAATTTATGATACATCTATATGAAGAAAAAAAATACTATCAAAGACAAGACAGAGTAAGACACATGCATTTTAAAGTAAAATGTATCTCCTTGTATTCTTTTGTCTGGATAGGAAAGCGTTACTTTTTCCTTTCGTGTATCACTTTATCTGAAATGTTTCTACTGGAGAGAAACCAAGACCTTTGTAAATATTACATGTCATTTGCCAACAGGAAAAACTTAAGATCTTGTTATAGTAAATCACACATACCGGTACTAGTGTTCTCGGAAAGATGACGTAAGCAAGCCCTGTTAACAGTTTAATCACCCAGCAGCAGCTGCTCTATTGCTGCCAGTAGGAGATAACTGCTGAGGCCTTCATGAGGTTTCCTACCTTAATCCTTACACACATTTTCAGCCCTATTTCTTCCTTCTTACAAATTCTGCTTTGTAAACATGACAAATAAACTTCTGAAAGTTTTTTTTAAAAGCCCCTTTAACAACTAATTCTATGCACAGACAGTCTCCCTCCTCCTCAACTAAAACAGAGGCGATCCTACGAATACACTGGCATACACTCCACAGGACAAAGAAATCACCAGAATATATTGATTTCCCTTCTTTCAAGGGAAAAGGTTCCTAAAGGACACAATGTCCTAGAAACCTCATTCAAGCCCCGGCTTGCTCTTCTGAATTACATGAAGCAAGCCAACTTTTGACAGCAAGTTAGCTGTAACATATTTCCCGTATGTAAATCATTTCCAGTTACGAAGTACTTCAGATTTATATGAATGATAAACCTATCCTAAACCTTATCTTACAAGATTTATCTTAAACATTGCCATGCCCACAACAGCTAAAATATAGTACTCATTTTCTGAAGTGCTAATTCCTCTATTTCGACAAACGATGCAGCCTGAAAAGGAAGTGGAAACCTTGAAAATGCTTCTCCTTCTGGCTCCTGCACTAAGAAAACTACTCCCAGAACGACACCCTCTGAGAAAACTCTTGTTATCCACTTCAAGTGAAACCTTGTCCCACCAATATCACTGACAACACTCCCCGCGTCTCAAATAAGGCCAAGGCTTCACATTACACATCAATTTGTCCACTCTGCTAAAAAGAAAATCACATATCCAGTTAAAACCGCAATACACAACGTCTGGCGTTTCACATCACACAGTTCTTGCAGCTGGTTAATGGAAGATTTTATTTGAAGACAACTGTGTTTCTAGAAGTGAAACCACTGTATAACTTAAAAATCATTTTTTATCCAAGAGATGCCTCTGGCTCCCCAAATACAGAGCTATTAACAACAAAGGAGGGTGAAATGCTACTTAGTGGATTAAAGAAAGTCATAAATAAAACATGGAGTGGTGAGCCATCCCAGTGACCCAGTCTGACCCTTTCCCACCTACCAGCTAACCCCCTTCATTTCACTGATCTAAATCTAGTCTATCTAAGGTGCTGAATTATTCAAATTATCATACTCGGTCACCAGACGTACAGTCTCAAGTTTCAGAGGTAGCCTACGGCAAAGAAAGGCAAAGTGACGTTTCCCCACCCTGTCACTGCTTGTACACAACAAATGCCATTCATTGTATCAATCATAGCCTAGCTCAGAGCTGAAACGTACTCATGCTGAAATGTATGTGTAACTACTGCACAGGATCTTTATGCTTTTAAGCAGGACTGTGGGAAAAAAAAGATACAATAAAGTTTAGATCAGTCTGTGCTATAAAATTCCCCTCTTCCAACCTCAAAGAAAGAAATATCTCCAAAAGCAGCACGTTGAGTTTATTTATACCACATTTCTGGTAACAAGATGTTTTACGGGATCATTAGATAGTGTCATAAAAATCATCAATGTCAGCTTCTGATACGGACAACAAGAAGTGCAGTAGACTTATTTTGGACAGAAGATCTGCCTGTTCTTAGCACATACACTCAAAACACAGGACAGACACTGTTCCTCTCTCCCTGGTGTATACTTAGCACATACACTCAAAACACAGGACAGAAAGGGAACATTTTTGCAATGATAATTAATCAGCACCATGTGCAAAACCATCCACATCAGCCCCAACTCTGTTCCCCATAAAGCACAATACTCTTCATGTTCCTCTCTCCCTGGTGTATATGCTCAACGACAGCTGTAAGCCTATGGTTGAAAGGTCCAACACAAAGTCTACTAATGGCCACAGGAAGAAAACAAGAGAAATCACTGCCTCTCAAGAGCTTCCAACAGCAACATGATCTATCAGGCAAAACTGTTCAGACGACCTAAGATATTGGGCTACACACCGCATCACGAAGGAAGGCTAAAGATAAAACTGCACAAACCCCCATCTACCCTGCACAAGCAAAAGGGGAAAAAAAAAAAATCCCGTCAATTTTGCTGTGGGGATTTCCTTCTTGCCTCTAAATCTGGGAACACAGTAAGCAGATCTCTAAAGGTATTTACAGTCAATCTGAGACACTAGACTCCTCTGCTATCAACTAAGGACAAGATTTAGAAGGAAAGTTATAACTTTAATGAAACTCAAAGATTTCTGTTGTCAATAAAGAATAATAACCTCACAAGTTATTTTCCTCTCTTAACAATGTTTTCTGAGAAATGGTTTCATCTGTCAGGAAATGACTGGCTGTCAAACCAAACCTATTTCAGATTAACTTCCTGTTTCAATAGTATTACATGGCCAAAATACTCCTCTCCCTATTCTAGATTAATACCAGACTGCTAGACTGCTGGTTTTTTGGCTAGGCAGCAACTCTTGAGAACTTTTACCCAAACTTACACATACCTTAGCCAACAAAACTGGACACTAACAAAAATATTTATGAAACTGGACACAATGTGAAACTCAGGTGTAATGGGCTAAGATGATTAGCATTTCCCAGCTAACAGAAATCAACTTTTACCTAGAAACATACCTAACGGACACTAATTGCTTTCAGTGTACCTGTCCTGTGAATTAGGTTGAAACAGGGCAAACCAACCCAAAGCATTTTTTCCTGCACTTGTAATTGATCTTTTCCATAAGAAGGAATAATCTTTGCATTTCCTCTTGCAGACATACTACCTCAGATTTTAGACTGGCTTGGCCGCTATCTAGATTATGGCAGTGAGAAAATGGTTTTAGAGAAATAAAACATTTTCATCAAATTATGTCTTATGTTTTACAACATGTTTAAGTAGCTAGATCTTACAAGTTTAACTGCTACTTCTGAAGGCCTTTGACTATCAAAGAATATTAGCATTATCACCCGTTTTTCACTTAAACACTGTTACAGAGCACTAAAATTTGCAGAGTGAAGGACCAGATGTTAAGATTGTGTACGACTGAGTTGTCTTGCATTTCTGCAATGCCAGTTCCTCGCATACACGCACCACAATTAAATGTGTTCACCACAGGGACCAAATTGCACAGCTTTTACCCCAGCTGCTCTGAAATTCAGGTACTGCTCTCTTGGAATGTTATTTATCATCTATTTTCTTCCAGATCTCTTTCTCCTCCCAACTCTCACCATCGTTACAGAAACAATTATCAGTCATATTTGAAAACACAGAGATGCAGAATTCAACAGGAATTAGTTCACAGTGTTTTGCTCAGTTCTCCTCATCCAGCCTTGCTCCTAGCGTCCACTTCTGCAGGCTATCTTGGAGGCCCAATTGAAACCTTCTTGCCTTCATAAATGCTAAAAACCGAGACGTGCCTCGTAAAGTTCACCATCTTAGTTCAGTCGTCACGTTATACTTCATGCCAACTAGCATGTAACGACTCTAACTCTTTCCTGAGCCCAACTACTACTTCAGGACTAGATTTTACCTAACTGGCTCTCTGCTTTTGCACCGGGTCCAGGGATTAATACAACCACATAAGTAATTTCCTCCTGGCTAAACGAGCATTTCAGAAGCAGGCTTTGCTATGACCAAGGCAGAGGTGTTTGGTGCTCTTCACTACTGTAAAAGGCATGCCGTGATTAAAGAAAATTTTGAGCTCCAAAAAACTACAGGAAATGAATATAACTCACGCCTCTAAGATATTATTGCAGGCATCAGTAGATGCTGCTTAAGTTAACACAATGTCTTTTTATTTCTTTATTTTAGAAACACTCTTTTTAAAAAGAAAGAAAAACCATAAACACGTTGAAGGCAAATTGCCACTCTCTTTGCAGTAGTGCCTAAGAAGTAAAATCCATGGATGGGAGAAATGGTATTACGCATTAATACAGCTTCTGCCACAAAAGTGGTATAGTATATTGGAACCAGGAACAGGACTTGGGTCTCATGGGTTCAAATCCAATTCCCTGCCTTCTCTTCTTACAACCCCCATCCCAATTTAGGAATGAAACAGAAAGTGAGTAAAACATGATCTACTTGACCACCAGTAAGATGCTAATGCTGTGCTGTAACAGGACAGCAAACCTGGGACACGTACATACCTCTGCCTAGATCAACAAAGGTCCCGCAGAGGCCTACCTCCCTTTGCCGGGAATACCGTGGAAGTTAGTAAGCCTTGACTAACTTGAGGCCTCTTCTTCAGAGCTCCATGTTTCTCAAACAGACCATACTGGGCAATGACACGCAGACACAGCAAAGAGGCCGTGCACTGAGCTCTTAAGTTCAGTTTCATCAGAGCGCAGTACTGAGATTCAGCATTAAGGCAGACTAGACCCAGCTGGTGTGAACACGCCGTGCAAGTTAGCATTCTGGCAATGGTCTGATGAGCAGCACGCAGCGCTGCATCTGACCAGCGTGACTCAACCCGAGACCCTTTCCGTGTAATTTTGAGAAGTGCGATGCACACGCCGTTACCACAACTTTCAACTGGAAACAAGGAGTTCAGCACTTCTCCAAATCTTACAATAGGTATTCAGATTAGGCTCTCAAACAAAAAGTCCCAATACAGCAGCAACCCTTCAAAATTTCTGGATCCAGTAACAAGGCGGCTTTTATGAGCCTTTGGTGCTTGGGGAAACTTTGTACTAGAGAACACACAAACACTTAACCTGTTCCAACTTCAGTATTTTGTAGAAAAATTATGGCTGTACTACATTTTTTTCCTAGTCCTTTTGAAAGTGATTTATGATAGTTTTTCCAGGTAAAACTACATATTGGTAATCTTTTGCTCACATGTCTTTTTGTAATGATTTTGGATTACAGTTTCTAAAGTAAATGCTGTTGAAAAAACAATCCACAACACCTCAGCGGCAAAGCAGCTGGTAAAAAAAAAAAAAAAAAGAACAAAACCTGTCTTCACCCAAGATGTAAGATCATTATGTCACAAAGACTATTTTACAGCAGTTAGTAAAATACAAAGCACTCCGTACCGTATCTACTTGCACTGAGAAAATTAAAACACAACTTCAGGCATATATTCTTCTGAACAGAGAAAAATCACGAAATCTCAAGTATTGTTAAAGCAACAGCAGAAATCAAGTGGCATTTATCCACACAACCTTATACGTGCAGAACCACTTAGCCCAAAAGGAAACTGTTTGTGTTAGTCAAGGCTTAAGTTAATTTCTCTGCTCAAAAGATGTTGATCTTTTTTAATGACAGATAATGCATTATTAAACACATAATTTCCTTATGAGAAAAATATCTTTAAAATATCACTCTGTAGCTCACAAACATTTATCTATATCCTAGTAACTATGATTTGCAATCATCTCTCTTTCACCATTCAGCACAATGAGTTTAACCGACAGACTTTTCTCCCTTCTGTTATACGCATTTGTGTACGTGTTATGAAAAACACATTTATCATGCCTACAGAAATAAATACAATACAAAACCTATCACCATGATTTATTAGCCACAGTGTTTAGAAGTAAACTGGGTAAGTAAAAAGTCTAGAAAGTTGACTGCAATAATTACAGAAAAGATACTTACACGGACTAACATCTCTGTATCTGTTTCGATTTCTGTTTTCTGGGTATTTTGCAACTCTATGAGGGTAGTCACTGGATTTATGTCGAATTTCCTTTAAAAGACAAAAAATGCAATTTACTTATAGCCAGTAAGCTGATTAAGGTTAGCGTTCTACACATCCTATTGTAAGACTTTCAAGCTTATTAATTAATCCAGGTTATTAATAATTAACGTTTGTAAACCAACCTTTACTACACCCAGTGTTATTTTCACTCAGAAAACACGTCTCATTCTTGGCCAAGCTGTTGCCATTTAAATCTTCCCACACTTGGCTAACACCACCAAACTAACATAAGCGCAATTTGGTAAGCAACCGATGTAGCAGGATCAAAGGGGAAAAAACCCCAGATATTTATTATGCTTACAGTTTACCTCAGACTTGCACGTTATCTCCCACAGTAATGAGAGACGGATAGACAGAACTAACGGCAGCATACTGCTAGCTCCTTTACACCAACTGACAGCTTAAATCCCCACAAAGTAACCGAATGAGTTAATGGTTTTATGGCTGCTGTTAACAGCCACAAGACTATTCTTGGCAGTTTGACGGTTCAACCCATATAGCTGTAGTTAAACATGACCCAATATGAAGGAGCAATTCTAGACTCACAAATATCAATGTGAAATCATAGCCTGCTTCTCCCTAGGCATTAATAGAACCCTTTCAATAATCTGCATTTGGAAGACATTCAAACATACTCATTTACACACTATTTTAAGGGGTATACTGTTCACATACTCTGAACGTTCAGGGGTTTTAATTTTTTTTGCCTCTGAGAGTATTGCTTCCACAACTTCACTAAGATACACAGATTTACCTTATGTAGGCAACAGAAAACACAGCTAAAGTGCTATTGACGAGCAGTCTCCAACGAACTGAAGTATCCCTTTATATCTCTGTACTGACGCCATCTCAGCAGACATGGCGCACAATACAGAATTAACAGTATTTTATTTTGAATTCTCCTTTTGGTTTTAGATGATGTTGCTACATATGATCATTATGTCCCACAGAGCATTTAACCTTCTCTTTACAACTAAGCTCTCTTTGGTCTTCTCTCTGTTTCCACTGTCTTCTTTGTCTTCTCAATCTTCCTAAATAATCTATGTGTTCCCAGGCAATGAACACAACCAAAAAGGTCTCTGGTGGAATTCTAACATATGCAAGGAAGTTCCATTTTTTTATCATCTGGTGTGTGACATTACTTAAGTGCAGTGCCAATCTGTAAAGAACCTCAACCACAATGTGGAGCGGCATCTGTCAAGCACCGATGCTCCACATATTTGTATAAAAATCTCTTGATCTATTAGACAACCAGTTTTTTTTTATTTTGATACAACACACCGGAACTTGTCTTCTCCTCTAGTTTATACAGCTTACAAGCTTTGGGAGCAACCACATGCACACTGAATGAATGAACGCATCTGGCAGGCAACCACAATGAAGTTCCCGTGAAACGTAAATTTCATATTACTCCATAACAAGATGCAACATATTTTGTTTGTAAAAGCACTGGTATCCTCTGTGCACAGAAACAGACCTGTAATTTGGTCAAAAAACATTAAAACAGCTAGAAACACTACTACAGTGATGGGGCGGGGGCTTGCTAAAAAGAATGAAACCTAAGGAAGTTTAACGCCTAGTTCTAAAATCAGTTTTCCCACATACGATCCAGCCATCACAAACTGGAAAAACAAATCAGACGCCAGATGTAACGTAAGGTATTACACAAGAAAAATTGGCAATGAAAAAAAAAACCAAAACAAAACATGTGAAAATCAGTATTATTTATTCAGTCATTAATTCAGATTGGATAGCAGCTCCAGGAGTCAGCATAAATATTCCAAGTTTCATACCATTTTACCACAAGTCTTGGCAAATTCATGGAACTGAAGGGCAAATATACAAAACTGGTCTCCGCAAGAATAAAAAAAAAAACCTAATACCCAACTTTTTTTTCTTCAGAGAAACTCACACTTCTCAGGCCAGGTACGTATGGTTCTTACACAACGCTATTACAGGAAAACATCTTTCTAAACAAAAACTCAGTCTAAAAACAAGTAGCCAGCAATTAGAGTATTTTCTACAAGTTTGCGCTATTTAAAAACATATCGTGCTGTTCTCTCTCTATTTTTAAGCAGATCTGTATTCTCTGGTTTTAATATAAAACAAATGCGTTACGTACCTTGAAAAAATCCTGAGTTTGCAAAATCTACAAAATCAGGGAAACATAAAATTCTAATACAAAAAGACTTTATTAAAAAAATATTTTACAGCATAGCTGTAGTAGAACTAGGAAATCCATATACAAAGTTCAGCAGAGCTTAACATACCATTTTCTCTTCAGTTTACTTCTCCAAGAACAATGAAATAATATTAAAATTACCTGGGAAAGCTAACTTGTTCAGTCTGGATATACCAGATGTAACGCGTGTGTACTTTTCTACCTCATGAAGAAAAACCGGTTGCAGAATTCTTCCCTTATGCTTTTATCTCATTAACTTAGCACACTTTATTTCTGCCGTTCCCTGTTAAATTCAAGCCACGGTTCAGTTGCATGGTACATGTCTAGGGGTGATGTATTTGAAATACAAGTAAATGAAATACACTGCTAATTTAACAGAGAAAAAGCACAACTGAAAGTCAGTAAGGAGAACTTTAGTTTTGGGTTTTTCCCTCATTTGTCAAAGAGCACTGTAAAACACATACTGGCTCAAATAACTGCTCTAGTATTATAAGCTTATACGTAAAGTCTATTTTATGGAACTGACCTAAAGATTAGTGTTGCAAGCTAGCAATTTCGTTGTTTCTAGAGAAAAAGGGCAAGCAGCGTATGTTGTGAGGGACAGCGGCGCACGCCTCCTGCAGACCCCGAGCCG